AAATATGAAATAATTGAAATCCAAAAGCAATGTTTCAAAAGAAGCGTGCCATCTATGCTACGAATCTTTAGAACAGGTCAAAAAAGGGTCGTAGTTGCATTTTTAAACTCGTACCCTCGGTAAAATGCCACTCAGATTTTGCTTGAAATCATATGTAACTCATTAATTTTTTCCTGCTATAAATAAATAAAAGAAGAATCTGCAACTATTTTAATATGGTCACATGGCTATTGCTGCTGGAACAAATTAGTGCATACGCTGGACTAGCTGGCTCGTGTTTTCAGCTGGAATGCGCTAACAAGGTGAAACATATTCTTGCATGCGTTTGGCATAATTTCGATTAGACTGCTTGGGACCGAGAAGCGAGTTAAATGTAGCAGAAGGTTTCTGGCGCGGAAACAGATTCAGGTTGCAGTGTATGTATTAGTACATACCAAAATGATATGTGGTATGTATGTATGAAAACTTTTGATATATCAGTGTACTTCTGCGTGCTGTTACGTTGTTAAGTTATATACATACTCGTATGTATGTATATGAATAAACCAAGTATGTGCAAAGCTATGGAAAAGGATAGTAATATTGAATTTAAACATGGGTTACTTGTTATTTCTTACAGTCCTCCAGGAGTTGGAAGCGATGAATACTGCAGCCGATGAAATTATGGGAGTTGAGTGTTTGTTGTGCTTTATCATAATTTTAAATTTTCATTTGATTTTGCCTATATTAAATGAAAATGCCTTATTAAAAGTATTATTAAATCATATTATGCTTTAGTTAGAAACTAAAATAAGTCTTGTGGCCCTGATCAAATACTTAATTTATATGTATGTACATATATACTTAATTATATTTAACGGGTTTCCAACCAAAGCGGGGTTTTCTTCAATATTATTACTTTGTTTTTTTTTTACGAATATTTTTTAGTTGGCGAATATTCCTCAAGACACAGCGAGACAAGATGGTATCGAGAAGTCATTCAATGCTGCATGAAAGGTTAGTTGCAAGAAATTAGGGGTTTTCGCATCGTCGCAGGAACGCATGCTTCGGTACGAATATTGCATGGCTTTCACGACAACAAAACCCATGTAAAAAAATATCCTATACCTAAAAACAAGTACATATATATATATATCCCATATATTATTCTTCTTCTACTTTATTGGCGTTGGCACCGCTTTCGCGATTATAGCCGAATCAATATTAGCGCACCATTCGTCCCCAATATATTGCAAGAATAAAAAAGCAGTCCTGTGCCAGCTAGTTGTTGTTGTCAGACTTGAATTTGCCATAATCGTGCAAAGGAGTTTCTGGTAGCTTAAAGTTCTTTTCGTCCTCCCAGAGTGGCATTCTAGTTGTATTCTACTTATTCGGCTACAAGGCGCTCAATTTGGCCCCATTCAATTTGGGGGAATAGTTGAATAACTTAATATTCCGCACTATATCAAACCATAGCCCAGTTCTTTTGTTCAAGTAAATTTGTTTAGGGCATTTTAGATGGAATTCTCAGCCATATTTAGTTATTCGAATAAATTATTTATACCTGGCGAATGGTTTCGACATTCTCTTTTTGATCACTGCAAAACCAATAATATCTAGTATGGTATTTGATCAGTAGGACCAATAGGCTGGTTGCTCATGTAATTGGGTTATATAAATGTCGACCATTTGGGATATCATATATCATAATGGGAATACCAGCAATCGAGCACAATCAGAAAATTTACAAGAATTTTTTATTCTAGATACGATTTTGTAATTTACTAATGCAGAGTTTGAAAAATGCTGGATGAAAAGTGAGTAAACTCGATTAGCTCTAAGCGAGTTCCAGGTAGATATGAGTATAACCACTTAAAAAATGGGTTTGCAATTAAATTTCTTAAAGATCTTTTAAAACCATAAGGATTCATTGAAATGTCATTTTTATGTACATACATACACATGTTTTATATGTTTTTGGCGGGCAAGGATTAAGAAATATTGTGAATGTTCAAAATTGAGTGCATGCTATGTTTTACTTAATTTTTGGAACACCGTTAACATAAAACCGAAAATGTAAACAAACGAATTGTGAACATTGCTATCTTGGCTTTAGCAACCCTGTCTTATCTGCTTCGAATTGTTTCTAGAAGTTGTTGGTTTGAATTTTTAGTTGAATTTATTTACCATTAAATTAGTCATCATTTAGCAGAGTGTGAGACACTGGTAAATCCAACCGGTCGTATACTCGTATACCTAAGTCTGCAAATGATCGGTATTTATTTCTTCTGTTTGCTTTTTGGAGCTAACTCCCGCTATTATAGACACAAAAATGATAGGTTTTCATGTCTCTGGTGTCAGAAATATCCATTTTCTGTGCCTCAGCGTAATTTACCTCAACAAGGTATTGAAAAGCTCCAACTTTCAAGCCGACAGTCGAAATTTTTTTGTTCACGTGAATTTAGCATAGTCAGATAACAAAAGTTGCATACTCAGAAATAGGACTGCCCACCACTGCAGGCCAATTGCCTAATACTTATTGTTTTGAAGGAAATTGCGGAAAATAGAATAAAATTCCAGTCAAGTCATTTGTATTCACATTATTAGAACGTATATATACATATGTGTATATGTACTTCATTAAAACACTAATTCTCAACTTAACAACATAATTATACTAATAAAATTTACCGACTTCTTTCCGGTTTGTTTGCGTCAGACAAACACGTCGTCAAACTTCCACTTCCTCATTCACATTGAAGCACTTCACTTCCGCGCAGTTTGTGCACGTTATGCATTCCCACTAATAAGCTTCATAAACCGACTCTAGTATATGAAGACGTTGTCTGCATGTTCACTTTGAATACCGTTAGGTGGAAACATGCTTCCTGAAACAATAACCATAATAATCACATTTCATATTTGTGTGAACCAAATTGCCTCCAACAGCCAAAACTTTATTTTTCTGCGCCGGCCTCACTCAGCAAATACGTGGAGCTCATTTGTCGTTTTGGACGAACTGGGATTGTTTTCTGGTTAAACAACAACATTTTGACCGTAATAAATTACGCGCTCGTTTAAAAGGGCGTTTATCCTGCTTGAGGCAACAAAAACAATGAACGTTCTTCCCTCTTCCCCGTCTAGCCTTCACAGTTGATACAGTTAGGTGAGTCTCATTCACGGATGTTGTTTTTTTTTTTTTTTTTTTTGAAACTTCCGAGAAAATTTCCCACAGTTGAGTTGGCTTTGGTGAAAAGACTGGCACCTTTTATGTACAAAATTGTGTGTGATGTATGCTTGTGATGATGCCACTCAGTGGAGTCATCATCCTCACCATTACACCCTCACGAAACCGTTTCTCCAGCTTCTTTCTGAAAGTAAAATGGGCTTAGTACATTGGAATATACTGCGAATGCCGCTATAATCGTAAGCAAATTACCGAATCTCATAACAGCTTACGGATCCGCCCTCTTAGCCGCCCCTGGGCTTTTATTACAACAGCGAAGCAAATCTAAATGAAGTTGAACTCCAAGTTCGGGGGTGTGGGAAACCTAATTACACGCCACAAATATGCAAATATTTAGATGTCATTATACCCTTCATTAACATGAACATGAAACTAAATATTATCAGAAAGAGTATCCAAGTTGACTTTGTCTATGCCGTCTCTCAAACCCGGATTTAAGTATATTTAATATATGGTTCGACACCGCATTTTTGTCTTACTTATTATTTTTAGAAATCCACAGGAGAGTTCCTATATAATATTAGTTTCACACAACCGTTTTTTCAAAAACCTATTTAATTTACGTACTCACATAAGCCTTTAGATGAGCAGTAAAGATCTAGACATGTGCTGTTCTGCTGAGCTAGCATCAAAATTGCACAATTTCCATGCAACTGTTTTCCCGAATATGGTTACATTATCAGATAAATATCCACTCTTATATATTTTAGGCTTAAAATAAAATAAACTTCCATTCATAAAAGGTATAAAGTCGACGACATAACCAAAAGCATATATTATGTATGAGTCTTTTTGAATATACACATATATATAATGCATACGATCTTACAAAAATCTCGAAGACTATGACCACATGTACTCCATAAGAGTATTATAGTAATCCGAAATACATATTAGACATACGGTATATATAGCATTGCATTGTCTTAGGGCGGGACCATATACTGATGCTTGTTATGACCTCAGAGCACTTCTCGGGGAGATTAGAGTTAAAGCAGTAGAGATTGTTAATTGGTTAAAAATTAAACAACATCTGGTAGATTGGTCCGTTATCGATTCACAAAGAAATGCACCGTAAGCACTCCGCAAATGGTCTTGACTCAACAATTTGTATGTGTGTACAGTGGGGTTTTGTGAAATGCTCCACCAAACAACCCTTCAGTACTACTTAAATGAAGGTGTAAGTCTGGCGTCAATGGCTTATTTTTAAGTACATGTTATTGAAAATACATACATATATGTATATACATATGCTAGAAGCTCACTTTATTGCTAGAAACATTTAAGTCGCGACGCGACACGAGTTCTACGCTGCAAATCGTTTTTAAATCGGTTCAAAAAGTTTACCAGTCAGTCACCACTAGCTTGTTTGTAGTTTCCCTCAAGACGGATGTTTACAGTTTTAGCTTGCTACACATGAACAAATATATGAATAATACTACGAAACTTGAAAGACTGCTTGTCATAGGATTTCAATCGAAGTTAGGAAAGGTAAAATTTATTGACAAATTTGAATGGATTCCGATATGAAAATTGTTCTTTCTTAGTTTATATGTACAATATTTATGTTGAATATAACATATGCGCAGTTTGATATATCCAAAAAAGTCTCTAATATTCTTTTAGAAGATAAATTTATTATCAAGGAGCTTTTATTTCACAAAATATAACCAAGGAGAGTTTCATACATAGTTCAAAAGCAGTACATATGGATTAAATATAGACGAACATGTTTTTAAAATTAAAAAAGAAACACATTTATGAATGCCTCAACTAAGCAAAAGTAACAACAAACAAATTTAAATTTTTTTAAGCCGGAGGTAATTTTTGCTCTGCAACATTTCGTAATTATTAATTAATCCACATCTACTTGATACCGCTTTCTTTGATACCGCTTTTGAAAATATATTAAACAATTCAGAGTACATTTTTATTCGAATATATTTAGATTATATTATGTACGTATTATGTAAAAGTTGATATTTTGTTACCAGCCTTTGCCATTTTAACTAAAAAAACGCACACGATGGAAATCAACATCGAAAGAATGAGCTTGAGCTATTTGTCGTATTGTCGTTACAAATATGTTGCAGATATGTAATTGATTTGAGTGCCCCGGCCGCAACTTCGCCACAACTCATCTCGTTTATCCTGCGGCACACTACTGCAGCAGAAGTTGTTTCATTGTTACGCCTTATTTATATTCATGACGGTATTTAATTTTCGAAGTGGTTTTAACTGCAGGGATTTAATTTTATTTTCACAAGGTAGAATGTGTTGTTTTAACAACGATTTTGAAATGTTAATTAAATTATTCTCACCACATTTGAATTGGTTAACATTATTTGTTGTTTACTCAAACTTTTGAGAATTTTAGCTTCGCTTACCCATTGGCCGTTTACAGATTCTGTAAAAACAAGTATTATGAATGGTCAGAAAATATAATACATATATATATGCGTATATAGTATAATCTGATTCACGGCAGCAGTGTGTGTTGGGAAGCCCAGTTACAGGTAAAGAAACAATTACTCACTTGTCTTTCATGGTATCGCAATTTGAATGTTTTCTTGCCAAGCATTTATTTTTCAAAAAAAAGCTTGAGAATTGATGCTTGGGATGTTTGTGGAAACAGGAAATAGTTTTCTCAAGTACATGAACCATCTCTCGTATTTGATTGGGATAGGCTCTTTCATATAATGAATAATCGAAGTTATTCTAGCAAATGGTGATGAGAGAAAAAATATGGACGTTGGGATACATTGATATTTGACTTTGAAAACATATCGGTTGTAAGATCTATCGCATCCTTTCAATTTAGCTCTGCAGTTCATTTCGTTTGAGACCTATTATCATTCAAAAATTTTTCTTCTCGTCCCTTTTTACGATGCAAATAGAGTTCAAGTTTTGCAATGCTACGATTATTCAAGAGAAAAATGTATTTGATGTCTGTAACTAATTTTTACTACCACCTTTTTTTTAAAATTGGCTGAGAGAAAAAATGCGAAGCCGTTAGAAAACGAAACAAATTATTTAAGGGATCTAGATCTAGTATCTATGAAAATGAGAATCATCCACAAGTTCACTATTCACTATTCATTATTTTCCATTTCATATTTCTCCTACTTCCATCTGCCATATCTTTTGTGTTTCCAAAAATTTTTTACAAAAACTATGTATGCTTATGGATCTGAATTGAATGACACCACATTTCTAAAACGGAAATGCAGTGTTCAAGATAAACTTCACATACGTATGTATATAAATATATGTGTGTAACAGTTAAAATTAAATGCTGAAATGAAAAGAAGACGAATCTCGATTCGGGCACTATAGAATTCTAGTCATTGCAGTTGAATTAAAGACTTTTGTGCTGAACAGCTTTCCATTACAAAAGCAACTCATACACACTTAAAAAAATCACCATCCGCTACATGTATGTAATCTCGCCACTGGTCTTGTGTCCTTTCATAATTTTGAAACCAGTTTTATACTTTTTTGCGGCACACAAATTTTTGGGTTTTGCAAAAGTCTGAATTGCGGAAGTTTATGTTACAATGTTTGGAAACAGTTTCAGGCAGATACAGCCATATTTGACTTTTCATCTGTAGCTTCATCAAGGTAAAAGAGAAAGCAATTCCATACATACGAGTATATGTATATGTGAGTATGCTAGAATATAATTTATTGCGCTTGTAAGCTGCTCCAATGCATTGTGCTTATTTTTTAAACAATTTCGAACATCACTTCATAGTTTTACGTCTATTTTGTCGTAGCCAGAAGTCAGAACTTTTAGTAGATTTATCTGCTTCTCAGCATGTTTTTCTGTATTTACCTGCTACTTCCCACACACATACATTTGTGTATTAGCCTTGCTCTATTGTGAAAGATGTATAAATATACCATATAAATAAGTTCAAGAACTATATAGAAATAGACATATTTATGGAAACACTGAAAAAACAATTTATTCTCTATATTCAATGTTGATAAGCTCGCGAAGGTCCTGTTTACTTCAAAAATAAAAATTTCAAGATCAATATTGTTTAAGCAAAAAATTGCAAATATCCAATTAAATTTAATATTTTTCTAGTGGTATGAACTTAGCATTACGTACAATATAGCATAAGTGTATGCTTACAATTTAACTTAAATAGTTATTAGAGCCCTGTGGCAACCATAGTTAGTAATGTATAAATATAGAGATAACTCAAAGAGTATTAAAAAGAAAACAAAAATTAGAAGCCGAAAATATGAAAAATATGCAATGGAAAATGGTGTGGTGTTTAGAAAAAATTAAAATGCAATGCAATTTTATGAAACTCGAATAAGAAAAGGAACAATCCATGAACCGCTGGAATACCAAGTCACTGTATAGTGCACTCCACGCTCAATAAACCAGAAGCGAGACATCGTCATAACCTCCCAAACACTCTAAGCCATTTCACATAATCCATTTAGATCATGTATAGTAAAAGTGCACTCCTCCCTAGCAAATGGGCAAGTTGAAATAGTTAATAGTATCATAGATATGATAAAAAAATTTAGCGTTCCTGTGTCACACGCTGATTGGGTGAAGTATTTAAACAAAATTGAGTTTGCCTTAATAATAAGTTAAGCCGTCTTCAGAATAAATCAGAGAGGAGAAATAATAGATAAACTTACTGAATATCTAGACGAACACAATTCAGGGACCTAGGGGCTTGAGCAGAAGTGAAAAGAAGAACATAAGAGAATTTTTTTTCGTCTCTTTCGTAGACACAACTGTTGGTGTCAACAAGAAGATTCTGACAAAATTTAAGGGACCGAGCATCAGACATAACAAATTACCTAACAAACGGTACGTAATAAGAGGTGTAGCGGCGGTGTGTAACTTAAAGACGTGAAAGAGGAAAGAAACAGAGTGCGTAGGGAAAATAATAATACCACTGAAAATAGACCCACTCTTTGAAACCGCAGGAGCTCCTCCTCCATTTGTGGTTTTGCGTCTTGATGTTTTTCTAACAAATGGAGGTACCTCCAGTATATACAAATCCACCCCTGAACGGCTGATGGCTTTTTTAAAATAAACTTTATTTCATGTCAGAAATACAGTCGAAGGGATTGACATTCCCGGCTGAGAGCGACCACATTTAGAAAGCTCAACTTAATGAGTTCAAGTCAGTGTCAATCACCTCTTTTAACACAATTTTCGGATCTACTATTTGAAGTGAATTTAAGTGTTCAATCACTACATATTTTATATTAAGGATTAAGGAAGATAAAAGAGATTCATTCTCGTGACTTTAAAACATAAATACCACTACATTGAGTTAAGGTTGAAAAACCTAAACTTTCCTACCCAAAAAAATCGTATGTAATTTCTTGCACTGCATGTTTTGTCAAATACATTTATATGATGTAAATACAGAGACGTACTTATACGCATGTAAATGGGTACACATAACTTACTAACCGCGCCATTCAAACACCGCTTAATTGTTGGTGCAAAAGTTGGTTGTTCGAATTTTGTACACTTTTACTCAATTAAATTTTCAGGTAGTTAATTCCACGGTTTATTGTAGCAAGGACAAAGTTGCTTGCCAATTTATAAAGCGTAACCGCGGGTAAATAATGTGCGGACATTTCTAATTACGCAAAGACCACAGGATACAAGAAGAAAGTTTCATTACAAAAGGAACAGGGATGTACCTTCTGGGTATGAGGTCACAGTCGCATATCCTGGAAATCTGGGCAGCCCTTGTGCAAGATGCGGCTAAAAGAGAGTAAGCTTCAGTGAAGCCACTCCGACTTATTTGGTTAAAAGGTCCGCTGAAAGCGAATAGCAGCCACCAGAGTTGCGGTTGCGAGTCGGCGTTGGTTTTGAAACAAGCGGAGAGATGTAATCACAACAGATTGCCGAGCGGTTTTCTACTCGACTTACACTACTTCTCTCTGAGAGTACTCCTCATCAACTCGGTATAAGGCGACTGTGGGACGGCTGCAAGCGCAACTATTGGATTTCAGACAGGTCGCGAAAACTTTTTCGATAAGGACGCCGTGGAAGAAAAGTAGCCTGTGATCGACCACTACACGTGCGGGATGGGATAGAAACCAATCACCGCGATTATAGCCGAAGTAATAACATTGTGTCATTCATTTCTGTTTTTCGCTGTTTGACGCTAATTGGAGAAACCCGGTACAGCCAGGTCCTTCTTCACCTGCTATTTCCAACGGAATGGAGGGGAAGACCACCAGTGGTTTTCATTTATTCATTCAACTATGTGAATGTCGCCGTATATCTCATACTGCTGATCATTGCATCGGTTGCGGTATTCGCCGTTCCCAACTCGTAGAGGACCTAAAAACTTACGCGAAACCTTTCTTTACTTTTCCATTTGCCTAATCTATCCAAAGTAGCACCTGTTGACAAGATTGATTCTGCGTTGGATTTCCGGACTGACATAGACGAAGTTATTTACCACTTCAAAGCTAAGAATGCTCTCGACAGTGACGTAGGAGACGAGTCGCGTATGCAAATACTGTTGGTTTGATGACAGTAGATATTTCGACTTGTCAATTCATTCACTCCACTCGGTTTTTTAGTCTGGAGAAAGCGGAACTGACGATGCATCGGCGTACACCAGCAGCTGTATACTCTTATCTTATATTGTACCTTCTTTCTTCAGCTCTGCAGCCCTTATTGTTTTCTCCAGTAAGTTACACCTTATCTTAGTTCTCATTTGGTTTGGGACGAGAGTTTCCTCCCGATACTGAAGCTTATGGTGTTGCCTAAAAACATATTACAAAGCCGTATAATTTTTGCTTTAAAATATACGAAGAGGCGCGGCGTTTCATTTTCACAGCCATTTAGCAGGCTGGAAAAGTGGTCCCTCCATAAATTCCATATACTCTGGGCATTGGGGGCAAGATCACATTTTTGTGCCCTGCAGTATTCTGCTCCGGTCTTGCAACCTTCCGTAACCCCCCGTATCTTTTCATAGAATTTTCGAGCATTACCCTTGTTGGTCAGCTTCTCAAGCTGCTCATGCTTTCGCCCTCTTTTTTTCCTACAAAAGCATATTGCTTCCATATTTAGCTCTCGGTATCTATCCCACCCCGCACGGGTTGTGGGTGATCGCATGGTTGTGAGTAGACAGTCTGTTTTCTCTCCACCGCGACACGGCAGTACTCATCGTTCCTGTTTGTTTTGCGACCGTTCCTAAATCTCAGAGAGCAGGTGTGCAACATGTATACGTTTATCCCAACATAATCGATCTGGTTGAATGTTTTTCGATCTGGAGACAGCACAGTAGCTTGGTGAATTTTCAAATGCTACAGACAATTATATGCCGGGCCCGGCGAAGTCGCTCAGCCTCAACTCATTTGGAGGCTAAATTTTCCGACTGTAGTCCCAAAAATTACTTCTTTGCCTACCCTAGCGTTGAAGTCATCAAGCACAATTTTGACGTCGTGGCGGGGGTAGCGCTCATAGCGGGGCTCGAGGCGCTCGTAGAAGGCATGTTTGGTCAAATCATTCCTTCTCTGCCTTCTAGGCGTTGGCTCAAATTACTTTTACGGGATTATAGCCGATTTACAACCATGCGCCATTCGTTTCTGCTTTTTACTGTCCAGGTCCTTCTC